TAATAAAATTTCCTAACCCTATAATTCAACCAAGAAGATGCATAGAAAAATAAATCCCCACTGACGAGAAGAAAAAAACAAACAAAAACAACAACACACCGATAAAATGATATGCACATCGCCGTCCTGGTCGTCTAGAATTGGCGTAGTGCGGCCAATTCCTCCGCACTGAAGGGCGTCGCACTGTGTGGTAGACCCTTCTCCGTCATCAAGTCCAAAATACGGTTCACGGCCACACCGTACGTCGCAACATTGACTTCGTTGAGCAAACCAAAGCGACGATACGCTTCCATTGCGACCTCACGCATCTCTTGCTGTGCACTCAGTCGTCGTTCCTCCGCATCCTCCGGGGCACGTTGACGTATCCGCGCCTGACGTATGTGCTCTTCAACGTACAGAAGCGCACCCAGCTGAAATGGCGGAAGGTCCTGCGGCCACTGGTACACCGCATCGCCCGCCGCAGGAAGTGCCGTCAGTCTGCAGCTGTTTGCGAGTGCCATGGCACAGGTGGAGCACCACCAGCGGTCAAACACCACAACCTTCCTTTCCTTTGTGGCATGGAACGCATCCCACGCTGCCAAATAATTCGCCGCACTGTAAAAAGCCCGTGCAGTTTCTTCCGTTTGTGCGCGAAAAGTCTCACGGATGCCATTGAGGTCAGGGTGGGGTGTGCGTATCAGTACTGCCGAATCGCCAAGCCTCTCGATGAGTGACTGCGCCACGAGGGACTTTCCGACGCCGTCAATACCTTCCAAAACAATCAGTGTTTTCTGATTTGGCTGCGCAGTGACGGTTGGAGTTTGCTCCACGCGATGCAAAAACTCGCTGCACGGCGGCGTCCACCAACTCGGCTGCAGGCGTTCCACGGCCCGCAAGGCTTCCACACATGCCTTCTTGCTGTGGTACACACTGTTGATCATTCTTCTCGCTTTACTAGTGGATCAAATACAGAGTGCGATAAAGAGAGGGAGAGAAAAAAGGAAATAGGGAGATGGACACACCGCATCTCAGCCCCTCTGAAGCGCTAATTCCCCCCCACCAACTGATTCCTCTTCCCCACTTTCTCGGTTGTTCCCGTTGGAGGTGCGGTGCCTCTTCACAGTAGAATCCAGTTTTCACAGTATAGGTGGTTTGACTGCGGGTAGGGATGCTGCACAAACCACTTGGACGGTGCCACGACACGGCGAAGGGGGCGGAAGTTGAAGTACGCAGCCCACCACGACCACGTCGAGTTCGACATGACAACATCGTCACAGCTGGATAACATCAGAAGCTCCAACACTTCTCGGGGTGCATGACTACCACACTCGAATGGCACACGCTCCCCGGCGGCACGTACCAGAGAAGCCTCAAGCCCCGGGTACTTGCTGCGGAAGTAGCCGACAACAGACAAACCGTACCGTTCCTCCTCACAAAACACCAGGAGATGAACTCTCCCACGCCCTTCACCACCTCTTCCCATCGACTGTAGCTGCAGACTATGGCCTAACAACTGTCGTACCGCCGCGTCATAGTAATCGACCTCCAAAATCTCAAACACATCACGCATACGCAAGTAGTCGCCTCGTCGAATGTGAAGACCAACATGTTGTAGGGTGCTGGGATCACCGTAGTTGTCATATAGGTGCTTCGCCGCCGCATTGCGCAGCTCAGAGGGAAGAACATCCCGCACCACGGGATGATCGGCAAAAAACGCCTCTGACTGGAAAAATCCAACCATGTTATACAAACACTTCGCCGTAGCATCCAACTGCACTGGCGCCACTGGACGCTGCTCGGGAACAATCACCTCAGGAAGGTTCACCGGGATGTCACAGCCAACATTGTAGGCACCGAGGTCCTTAAAGATGGATTGCCAGTAAACATCTCGTGGCTTCTCGTTGCTGCTGCTCCACGGCAACCGCTTTAAGACGGCCGGCACGCCATTACGCCGCGATGTGGCCAACAGATTCGCCACAAGAAAAAGCTGATTTCCCAGTCCACCCACCAGGTTGGTGGTGAGGTATGCCCTGCTGTTCATCTCACACTAAATGAAGGGAGGAGGGGGAGAAAAAAGGAGAAGAAAAAGCGGAAAATAATAATACACAAACAAACAAAGTAGAAATAACACGCTCTTACACGCCTTCTCTGGAGGCTTAAAAAATTTTTTTTTCCACTCCTCCCCTCCTCTTTCTCCCATCGACCTTTTCACGACTGTCCACCACGGTAGCTGATTCCTTTATGCTGCAGTAGCTTCTGCAGATCGCCTCCCTCCGCCATCTTCTGCACGACGTCGAGTCCGCCTACAAACTCGCCCTTGAGGAACAACTGCGGTATCGTCGGCCACTCGCTCACTTCCTTGACGTACGTCCGCACAACCGGGTGTGCCAAGACGTCAAAAGACGTATACTCCAATCCAAGCGCCTCCAAAATATCAATCAGGCGTTTCGAAAAGGCACACATAGGCGCCTCCGGCACGCCCTTAATAAACGCGACAACATCTTCCGTCTGGATCGTGTCGTCAATGTCTTTTTTCACCATGGCAACTTCATCCTCCGCGAGTTCGGTGTTGACAAGACGGGGCTGAAAGTCGGGGTGCGTCTCCTCCCTCTCCCGCACATCGCCATCACCCAAAATGCCCCCACCATTAGTGGGCGCAGCGGTCAGAAAAGGTCGCTGCTGATGCAGCTGCAGGAGAGACGACACCGCCGGGAGGCGCCGCACAAAGAGGGAGAATGATCGCCCAGAGAATGCATTACAAAACCGCTTCATTAATCCTGTAGTAATGAGTGCAAAAAAGAAACAACAAAAACAACAAAGAAACAGCCGCTAAAAAAAAAAAAAAAGACAAAAAAAAAAAAGAAAAAAGTACCTACGGCCACACGCAAATCAAAGTTTCACTAATAGACAAGAGACATTTTTTCCGCTTCGGCCCAAACAAACGTACACCCACTAACACCCGCATCAAATGCAAGTTGCGTGCGACGATTGCCCGCGGAAAAACAACGGCGGATTTGCACACTACATTACTGACACAGTAGTTTCTCCACCAAATACTCGCTTTTCTTTCTTCTCTAGCCTTTCCGTTTTTATTCATTCTTTCACTTTCATTCTTCTACACGGCGCTGCTGTCGCTGTCACTGTCGATCAGGAAACGCCTGATGTCAATCTTCCCCAGTCCAACGGTTTTCTTTGCAGGGGGCGCTGCTGCAGGTGCAGGTGCTGCGGGCTTTGCAGCCTCCTGCGTCACTGCCTCCTTTTTCACATGCACGCGGTTGCCCGCACTGTCTGACGACTTTGTCGACAGAGTTGAGCACGAGCCCTGCTTCTTCAAGGGAGGTGCAGAAGAGAAAGTGTCACCCTTTTCCGTTCGTTGCGGTGCTATCGTTGGTGCTGTCACTGTCGGTTCTGCTGCTGCTGCTGCTGCTACCGGGGCTGAGCTGAGTCCAAGCTTATCTAGCTGCGGCAGCATTTTAAGGCGTGGTTGGCCTCCCATCGCCTGAGGCTCGGGAGCAGCAGCAACAGCAGCGCTGAGCTTCGGGTCTGCAAAAGACTGCTGACTGGGCTTTGGATGGGGCTTCGCTTTTGCACGGGCTTTCTGCGAGGGCTTGCTACCTGCAACACCACGCTTCTCCGTCACAGCAGTAATATCGCCGGCAGCGGCGGGAGGAACAGCGGAAGTCATCGTCGTGCTACTGGGGCGTGTGATGGCGTTGCCGGATACGGCCGGCCCTTGAGAGACACGACGGGGACTATCTTCGTTTCTATTCATGTTTTCTTTCTTATCTTCTGACGTGAAGGAGATGTCCCCATGCGCACGCTTCACCGTTCCCTGTTCCTTTCGCTTCTTCTCACTTGATGACACGTACTGATACGTGGTAGAGCGCTGCGCCCGGGTTTGATACTTGTGCGTGCTAACGCCGAGAAAACGCTTCTCCTCCTGGGACAGGAACGCTGATACCAACTCTACTGTTGCCTCCTGCAGCACCGCAAGGCCCTCCGCAAAGGCGGCAAGGGCCTGTTCTTGTTCTTCGGTTGGATGCGGCAGCGGCTTCACCTCACCGTATACATCCTTCGCGCGGCGTAGATCCAGCCGCATCGAGTCGTAGATGGCCTTCACAAGAAATGAATCCGCCTCCGCCTGCAAACGGTCAATTTCGCCATGGACTCGCAGCAAAGCATCTGTTACCTCACGGCGGTGTTGTACACATTCGACCTTCTTGACGGTTGGCATCTCCATGGCAATGGGACGCACCTGAAGTGACCGCTTTTTTTGTGAGACTTTGCCAGTACGTCGGGATGATGATTGTCGGTCCCGCCGCGACAATTCCGACGGCGCCTCAGGCACGCTGCCGTAGTACACCCGCTTCTCGGGAAGGAGAAGCGGCTCCCGCACCCTGGGGATTCGCGATCCCTCCGCTTCCAGTTTTTCCCCGCCTTCTTCCTCGTTCCTGTCACCGTCATCATTGTCATTGCTGAAGTTGTGGCCGTTGTAACTTCGCGGTGGACTGACTGCTGTCACAGCGGGGACAGAAGGAACCTGATGATGCCGTGTGAGTACCTCGTCCAGGTTCGTGGCAATATACGGCGGGTTTGCTGCAGAAATCACAGGTGAGCGGTGTGACTCAAGTATGGCGTTAATCGTGGAGGTGATATCGGTCTTTGGTCCCTTCTGCCGAAGCGGCAAGAGTGTTCGTTTCGCTTCGTCCATCATGGCATTTGATGCATTGGGGTTAGAGGAGCCCAGTATGGCCAAAAGTGTTTCCCGCACACACTGCGGCACCGTCTCCCAATCGCCCAGACCCTCTTCAATCTCCTGCAATTTCCGTGGCAATACCATAACGTCCATCATGACTACGTTGCGCGAGACGTGTCAGAGATGCGTGGCCGTTCAGTTTACTTTACCGCCCGTTTTCCTCGCCTTTTTTCTCTTTTCTCCCCCCCTTATCTATCTATCTATGTATTTATCTATTTATGTGGCGGATACGGACGCAGAAAACCCAAAGGAGGCAAGAGGGCAAAAAGGGAGGAGTTCAGGTCAAACGAATATTACTGCCTTCACAAAAACGCACAGAGAGAGATATACATTTGTCTATGAATACAATCTATACTTCCAAGCAGAATTACAGTAAAAAAGGAAATATATCTAATGGCACAGCGATTCTATGAGCAAAATTCAAATTTTTTTTTTTTCCTTTTTGATTTCCCCCTCCTCTCCCTTCTTCCTCCTCGGTGTATACTATCCGCTTGATTTGTTCTATTGCTTCCTCTACATCATCGAGCTCAAACTGCTTTGATTACTGGAGGATGCAACACGCTGATGTGAGCTGACGTTTTTGGATGAAGAGGAGTGGCGGCGGGCCATCACCTCATCTGCCACATGATGCATGGACGCCTCGTTAAGCAGTGCGATGCGATTCATGTATCTTCTTCGCATCTCACTGAGCGTGGCATCATCCTTGTGTCCCGACGGTGTGCTAATCGTTTCTGGCGTGTTCTCCTGCTCGCAGATCTTCTGGTGCCGATCCAAAAGCGCTTGCGGGACGCTGCCGCCGGTGTTGACTGGGCGTTGTACTGAGGTGTGCACAGGGGAGGTGCCTCGCTGCGGCGTGTAGCCCAACGGCACATCCTCCGGCCGCAGATTTGCCGGGTCGAGCCCCATCGCCCGCTTCTCTTCATCCGAGAGGAAATTTGCCGCAAACCGCACCGACGTCCACCGCAATGCATCGACGCTCCCTTCAATCTCATCCACCATCGCCTCTAGTTGCTGCATTCGCCGCAGCGTGCCGCCGGAAATGATGATGTCCTCCGGTATCTCGTCCCTCGGGCCGAGGCGCCGCTCCTGCTGAATGGCCCGGAGCAGCGACGGGTCCAGTTGGATCGCCGTGCGCCACAGGGAGCGGAGGTGGTGCCGCACCGCCTCACGTGTGGCCTCGATGCTGTTGTGAAACTGCGCAAAGCTCCGCACCGCCTGATCCCGCACCCACGCCGCGTCCTCAAATGTCTGCACGCCTCGCTGAATCATCTCTTCCGACAGCGACGATGCCACCACTCGAGCCTCTTGACGCGGCTCCGGCCACGGACTGCACTGCCGCCGATTCGCTGCTTCCCCGCCCAAGGAAGACGAGGCGGCGGCGTTGAAATGCGGTGCCATCTTCGACTGTGGCCCGGCCAGCGCCAACACAATTGCCTCCCGGACACAACGGGGCACATCGGCCCAGTCCCCGTCGCCATTCGCAACGGCACACACGACCTGCACCACCTGACTCCCTTCTGCCATCCTTCTTTAACTGTATGTAAGTGTGTGTGTATTTGGCCGTTGGATGCAACGCACACGAGCAATAGGAGGGTAGGAGGTGGCGGGAGAAGAAAAAGAAAAAGAAGAAGGGAACCATGAGTGCGTGGTGCCCATCGTTGCAGCGAAACAGTAAAAGAAGGAGTGGGAGAAAGAAAGACAAAAAGGAAGGGGGTGAGGAATACCGCAATTTTGCTTTACATCGTGCCTGCCGCACAAAAATCTCCAGACAGACAGACAGACACACACATGGCCCGCCGTGCAGCAACGGCCAAAATCCACAAAACAACGTCCCTGAATTCGTCGCCAGAGGCCGCGTCTGGCGCCTACGGAGTAGCTTCATTTTCATCATCGTCATCCGTGTCAAGAACGGCGAACACGTGCTGGTTGTCATCGAGCAAATCACACACACGAGCATCCGGGTCGCATGTGATCCCACCTTCCTTTTGGATGCACTTCGGCGACCCGTATTTGCGTCCAAACGATGAATCGTAGTGCACCATGGCTGCATTGCCGAGCCAAATCACATCTTGCGTGCCATCCCCGCACTCCAGTGCAATGACCTTCTCCCGCACATGCACATAAATGCGCATTGAGACTAATTCCTTCCTTCTTTCTCTCTCTCTCCCTTTAATCTCTTCGCCTAGATGCATCAGCAATTCAAGAGGACACAAGGAAAAACAAATGCAAAAGAAAACAACAACCAAAAGAACCTTAAAAGAAAGAAAAAGAGCGGTCACAACATTTTTAGCTGAGCCCTAATCCCCATTCCCGCACACACCACAAATATGTATACACAATTGGGCCGCAGCACCACACCAAAAAAGAAAAAAAAACAAACAAACAGGGGAACAACACCACACCACGCCACACAGTGACTTTCACGGTTACCTCCCCCTGCGAGAACTCAGTAGCCATTCCGACTTTTTAGCTGTGCGATGCGGCGCGGGTCTAATTCGTGCTGCAGAGCACCTGCTGTCTCTCCTGGTGTTGGTGTGCGTATCATGTTGGAGAGCGTCAGGGCGTCTTGCGCCTCACGCTGTTTTCTGGCAATTTCAATCAGCTCCGCTGGCAAGTTGTCTCCATATATCTTCTTGATGTGCATGTACATCTGCTCCTCACGCTTTGGCTGCACACGCAGGACCGTCATCTTAAGGAATTGGTAGGCAAAGCCCATGACGAGCATGGAGCACCAGAAGAACTGAATTTTTGTGCGCGTTGGCAGCCGCTCGTACCTCGCCACACCCGGCAGGGAAGACATGACTACACACACACACACACACACACACACACACACACACACACACACACACACACACACACACACACACACACGCTTTTGTTCTCCGCCCGCGTCTCACTCTACAGCCTTGACGCAAAAAGAAAAAAAAAAAAAAGAGAGAAAAAGACAATGAAAGAGGCATCGTTCCCTTCAAACAGCCCCTCCAAATATATATAAATGAACAAAAGAATGAATGAGGCAGTAGACGCAAACGGGTATCAAAGTAATCGCAAGCTGCATTTCACCCCTTCCTGCAAGCCTCCTCCTCCTCCTCCTCTCACGGAGAGACAGAGAGAGAGAGAGAAGGAATGCATTACACGCTGTTCGTGCTTTCCCCACCGCTACCCTCCTTCCTCTTCTCTTCCTCGTCCATGAAGCCAATGTACAGAACGGTCTCCCCGCGGACGAAGCAAAGCTCTCGCTGCTCTCCGCTCTTGTCAAGGACGGCGTTGAAGTTGTTGTCCACGCCATGCAGCACACCTCTGTGCGTCTCACCAAACACCGTGAAGCATACCGCCGGCTTCTGCATCCTCTCCGCCAGGTTCACCGACGCCATTTTCCGTAATCTCCACTGGCAACCACGCAACACCGCCAAAGCTGCAGAACGACGAGATGAGAGGGAGAAAAAACAACAACAAAAAAACAACAAAAAGGAAAAAAACACAACAAAAAGAAAATGATTCCACAGGGAAAGTAAAGAGAAAAACAAAGAATAACAGGTGCACAGAACAACAACAAAAGAGGATGATACACACTTGGCTTCCCGAAAAAGCGGTGTTTTTCACTGCTGCCGGATTTCGTCGGCGCTTACCAGCGCTACACATGTCGTCTGCGTGCCGTAAGTGACGCACAGATGCAAAAGCTACTGCGAGGCGGAGACGTTGAGCGGAGCCCGAGCCCCATAGCAGCACTCCAGATGACCGTTCCCTCACTGACGCCGGCCAAACTCGCAACAATAATGGCGCAAGGAGCAGACATGATAGCCATCCGGGAGACCTGGAAGTCGTCGGAGCAGATCGCCAGCATGCACGCTGGAGAGTATGTGCTCCATGCACAATCACGTATCCGCAAGAAAGGTGTTGCAGCGGCGCTGGTGAGGAAAAACCTCCGCTCCAAGCGTATGCCCCTCATCACTCCTCAACGTGATTCCAGCCTCGAAGTGGTGATGGTCCGGGTCGCGCTGGGCCAGAACCGTGATCTTATTGTAGCGAGCACCTATATGAGACCACCGCCGCAACTGACACAACCCTTAGGCGGTTGCTGAACTGCCTCTCGGTCCCGTCGCCGCTCATTCCGTGTGGAGGTTTCAACGTGCGTCGCCCACGGTGGGAGCCCTTCCTGGAGACCCCTCCAAGCAACTCCGCTGTTGAATTTCATACAACCGCGCACGGATGCAGGACCCACCTTGGTTAACACCCCTGGTGAAACAAAGTATGCTCGTGGTGCAAGAGAGAGGTCCTGTATCGACCGGACATGGTCAAGGCATCTTACCGTGCCCGACTGGACAGCCAATGTGCCGCCGCTCAGTGACCACTATGTGTTGACATTCACGCTGCATCAGGCATTTAAGGATACCATGCCCTCGGCACCCACTTCGGTACGTCGAGTTTTCTACAGCTGGTGGAATTCCAAGTGGGAGTCCTTCGCCAACGACCTCGACGCACAACTTCCAGCATGCGACTACAAAAAGCAATCAACCGGCATTAAAGCTTTTACGAGAGCACTTGCAGTTTCATCTCGACAAAATTGACCCCGCGGCATGCACAAGGATGATCCCAAGCTCCGGGGTGACACCCTTGCGAAAGCAGAGCGGATTGCTACCGACAGCAAGGCCCGCCGTCTGCAGTTACCGACGCCCGACCGTGAAGCAGAGACGCAACGGACAAGGAGCCAATTCTTCCTCCTACTCCGTGAGCGCTCGCGCAGCAAATATCGGCGTCGCATCAGAAAGTTCAACCCAGGCAAACCACTCGCCTAAAAAATACGATTCCGGACGTAAAAAGACATCAATTCCATCTCCCACAACGGCGTTGATGTACGATGGCCGCAAGAATAATTTCAGGACAGCAAGGAGAGCAGCGGATGCACTCAATCTTGGATTCCTCCCCACCTCGCAAGGCGATTGGGTTTTCCAACGGGAAATAACGGAGAAAACAAGTCTTTGTGTATTTCTTCTCCCTCCCCTTCTTAGGCCGCAGAACAACAACGAGTCGGCCGCCTCATCTTCGATAGGTTTCTTCTCTCCCCTATCTCTGGATGCCTCTTTTAATCAGGCGGAACTGCGTGCAGCGCTGCGTAGCACACCGTACGGCAAGGCCCCGGATCGGACGAAGTCTACAGCGAGGCGCTACGACATCTTTCGACGAAGTGTCTCCGATTCCCTCTCCGCCGCATCAACCACAGCCGGACAGCCGGCACGATTCCGGTCCAGTGGCGACGAGCCACCATCGTCCCAGTCCTGAAACCCGGTCAGTCGCCGGCGCTAACGGAGTCATATCGACCAATCAGCCTTCCTTCCATCGTGGGTAAAGTTGCTGAGAAAATGGCATTGAGGAGACTGCTTTGGCTGTGGACGCCTCGTCCGCACCAGTATGCGTGCCGTAGTATGCGTACCACGACGATGCAGCTGGCACACCTGATACATGAAGTTGAGCATAACAGAAACGATCACTTCCAAGTGAACCTTCCCAAGAAGAGCGGTGTTGGAAGCCAGCTCCACTGCAGACCCCATCGGGCTCCGTTGGTGCTGGTTGATTTCAGCAAAGCCTTTGAGTTCATTGGTCATCGAGTCCTCAGTCGCTTGCCGGCCAATATTCCGGGGGTGAACTGTAGAAGGTGGCTTAGAAACTTTCTGCGTGGCCGCTACGCAAAGACACGAGTCGGCAACAGACACAGCGATCGGTCTTCCACGCTGCGAGGAGTTCCTCAGGGGTCCGTGTTGGGAACACATTTTTGTTCTCCCTTTACGCACACCCACTTCTCAATCTGCTGAACAGTTTTGCGGGTGTCACAGCAGACATGTATGCGGACGACCTCTCTATTATCGTTAAGGGGCAGTCCCGGGAAGACACCATTCCCGCGGCCGGCACGGTTCTTAAAAACTGCATGCGTGGAGTCAGGAAAATGGCCTGGCCATCAACCCGTCAAAGTGTGAAGCCGCTTGGCCCACACTCTCCACGCACACGGAGTCAAACTATGATCGTGAAGGAAAGTGGCCCCTGGTAGTGGCTGGATGTAAAATTCCAGTCATGACCATGGGGGCGTCGCGAACTACGAAGCTTCTTTGCATGGACCTCGATCTGCGACTGACGGTAAATGTGGCGGCCACCAAGCAATGCATTGCCACTTCGCAACGGATATCGCAGCTACGCCGCATTGCGCATAAAGAGGCGGGGCCATCTCCACATGACCTACGCACGTTCGTCATCGGATACGGCGCATGCAAATTACGCTACGGCAGCGAGCTCATATGGGCAGTAGCGACGGATTCAGCAAAGAATGAGATGCAAAAGACGTACGCAACCCTGGCGCGCATTGTCAGCGGAGTTCCGAGCACTGTCGACCAGTAATCCGCACTCCTAGAAGCAAATATACCCGCCGCTCCATGTTGTCCGCCTGCGTGCGGCTCTCCATGTTTGATAACACACGCAATTGTCGGACGGACTGGAAGCGGAAATCAACGTCTGAGCCTTCGCCTCGCGCAGGTGTCCGCATCTCGCCATAGTCTCGGCACGAGCTATATGCCTTTCTAGACGCATACGCAAACGGCTACGGCATCACCGAGGACTCACCACGCGAAGGGCGGTTCTTTCGAAGCTCCATTCCTCCCTGGTCTGCGGCCTCCGCTCACCGGGTCACCATCGCTGTGGAACTTCCGATGGACCACTCGATCACCGACGAAAAAGAACTGATAAGGGAAATGCGCAGAGTCCGTAAAGAGGCTCTAGCGCCGCACAGCCACCGCTCGTGGATACTCGCAACGGATGGCGATTTCGACGTTCCCAATTCAGCAGGGGTTGGAATACTGCTTTCATCCCTGCATTCCTCGCAGATAATAGAGAAAGTACGTAACAACTGCGGCACACGCCCTTGAAGCTGCAGGACGAAATCCAGTGCGCTGCTCCTAGCCCTGGAGAGGCTGATTATCCCTCGGATCCAGCACAGGCGTAAAAACCCCGCTTGTGGCGACACAAAGCCAGTCTCTCCTAGCGGCCCTCAACAAGGACCCGTTCCGCCAGACCGACTGGACGGAGGACCGGATCTGGCAGCGTCTCTTGACACTGATGCGTGCCGGCCGGTCCGTGCACCGGCAGTTTTGTTGCGGACATTGTGCAGTGCATGTTGACGAGCCTGCGGCTCAGCATGCGACGCAGACCATGGCAACCGGACAACACACGGAACATGGAATGGCGCCCATATGGCACACGGACCCGCTGACATGCCTTACTACCCAGCCCAGCAACAAGTGGCATCGTACCATTCGCCAAGACACTCACCGCTACTCGCCCTGTGGTGCCAGGAAGCGGTCTCTGCCACCGCAGGATCAGCCAACTTCCACAGGCACGCCAGTTGACCCGCAGGAAACCTTTCGCCATCTGCTTCTAGAATGCCCAGGCACCTCCGCTGCGCGCCAACGGCTGGGCATTGAGAAAGATCTACGCAGCGAAATGTTCTCTCAATGGCAGTTGCTTCATAGCAGGAAGCTTTTTCCGCTGCCCAACCGCCTCCTCGGCACCCAGATGGCATTGTATAGCTAGACGTGCCGGTAAAAGTACGGAAAAAATGATAATGAGCATTCTCGCCACCATCGGGTCGTGGCGCACCTTGCGATCTCGCTGGTGACCCTCCTGCTCCACTGCTGTTTTTGCGCAACAAGTCATCACAGTCATTTTTGTGGTTTGGTCGGCCTCGTGTTGCGCTCCGGGTTCTTCTCCTTCATCGTCTTGCGGTGTTTCCTTTGCCGTCCCTGGCACTGTGACTGTCCCGTGACGGTTTTTTCCGAAGCCTCACTTCCCTGGGAGGTCCTCCCGCCACCAGCGTGCACTCCACCCAAAGACTCCTGTCCATTTGCACGCATCTGAGCGGCAGAGGCGCTGCCAGTGCCGGACGGATTGCAATTGTTACTTCGCAGTGGGTCGCTGCAGGATTGATTCTGCCTCGTCGGAGCAGTGAGTGGTCCTGCGGGGGTGGGATTATGGCCCTCACCCGCCGTGCTTTCTCCACCCTCCTCGTCTTCCTGATTGCTATCAACCTCAGAGTTCACGTTCCCCTTTCGTCCAGAGCCACCGGCCACGGTCCTCCATCCGCAGCCATCACAGCCTGCGCGTGCTCAGCAGTCACCGCGCCATCACCAGCGGGCCGCACACACACCGTCGCAGCAGCCGTCGAAAACATGCACGAGCTGTTGCACATCACTGCAGGAGCCAACAGGACGCAGAGCACACGGCCAGTCATCATCACGAATAGTGGAGTCGCCCAACGCTGCAGAGCCGAGCTGCAAAAGCACAGAAAACAAAAGGAGAGACACGGCCGCTACACCACGCACAGCCACCGCACAGTCACAAATGGCAGCAGCCCAGCAGCGGCAGCGCACACACACCATGAGGCAGTTGGAATCAGTGAAAGGGCAAAAACACACAACGCCCCGCAGCAAGCAAACAGAAAACACACAAAACAATTAGAAACAAAACACAGCTAAACAAACAGCAATGAAGTAAAAAATGTGAAAACAAACAAAACAAAGGGCTGCACAGTATGGCTCCAGCGCGCACGCACCCATCCTCAAATGTGACTCCACGCAAACAGTTGTGTGCGTGCCATGCATATGAGTGTGTCTGGGGTGCGTTCAACGTGACGGATGCGGGGAGCGACAAGGAGCACACAGCAGGGCAGCGGAAGCAAGTGAAGCAAAACACAATCATTAGTTTATCCTGTTTAGTACATCGGACCACAGTAGACGCACACAAGTCCCCGCGGTTGAGTGCTGGCACGCACAGCCCGCACACAATTCTTCAGCCCAGAGTGGTGTACGCCAGCGCGGATACGGCGAGCAGCAGCGGGGCACACACCCACGCAGAGCTGCTGAGGCTGCCGTCGATTTCGCGAAGACGTGACGGTGCGCGGGTGGTCGTTGTGGTTGGCGCCTCCGTAGTCGTAGTGGTGGTGGTAGTTGGTGCTTTTGTCGTAGTAGTGGTTGTTGTTGTTGGCGCATGTTCCTTCTGACTTTGTGCCGGTACAGAAGCGGTCACGGAACTTGACGATGTAGCTGGGTTAACCGACCCACCTGACGACCCTGACCCACCGGTGCCCAGACCTGGTCCCTCTTTTGTAATAGACTCCAGAGTTGCTGTATCTGGACTCCCTGGCACACCGGTTCCCGCACTTGGTCCTTGTGATGTGGGGTTTACACTTTGTGTCTGTCCAGTACTGGCCTGTGTCAGCGACCCTGTCCCACCGGATCCTGGAACATCTGTTCCCTGTGACTGAGCAGCCGTTGAAACATTGACCTTATCTTGATCTTCACCAGTTGCTGCCACGCACACGGACGGGCAGCAGCACAGGGCAAGCACCAACAGGGCGCACAGCAGACGGCACGTCGTCATCGTGAG